GTTTAACCTCCGGTGAACTTAACCAGATGTCACAAAAGTTTGGTGAAATGGTACTCTTATGGTAACCTTAGGGTATAAGTTACCTTGACCTTAAGGTTTACTGCACATTGTGACAATGGGCCTTAATGTCATTTTGACTTTTATCTTTAAAAAAAAAACAGATTTTACTATCGATACCTCAGCCCATTTATGTTCTGGGGCATACGCTATCAAGACTTTAAAAAAGAAGAATGTATTGCCACTATTGCCAACATTATAAAAATAAAGATATATTTTTAAATTGTACAAAAAATACCATAAACATTTCTTTTTTAGGTGTTTTATCTATGAAACGACTAGGATGGACTGCCGAGAATAATTCTCAATTTTGTATAACGTTCAAAAAGATGGAACGGCTCGATCACAAAAATGTGGTTTTCGGCAAAGTTATCAGCGGCAACGAAGTGCTTATGAATATCCAGTATTACGGCAGAAAAATTGGTAAACCTCTGGAAAGAATTATCATTTCTGATTGTGGAGAATATTTTATGAAAAAGTAAATAAAAAATTAATACGAAACCCAAAGTTCGATTTTAATTTTAATTCGCGCCGTTTATTTATTTAGGGCATTTTTGTTTTATTGTGTTGGCAATAGTAAAGGCCGTTATACACGCTTTTGCATAACGCATACCATCAAGAATATTCCACACTACTATAGGGCTCAGGGCCCCCGCTACCATAAGCGCAAAGGCGTGCGGCGCACGCGGACGGCATAGCTAAGGGGCGGCAAATCGCATGAGAAAAAAATATATAAAAAAAAATTATAATTTATTATATTTAATAATTAAAATTTTTTCCTAGTGTTTCAATTATTTTCCTTTTTATTCAAAGGCCAGGCACCTGGTACCTGATTCTCGAAACGCCCAGCGCTCGTCTGGGAACAAGTGCCCTGTCCTCAGTTCCATGTAAGTCCTATACATATGAGTGACAAAGACTGAAAATTATTAGAACCCAGTCCTGCGCCCTCGTGCGTATCGAGAATCAGGCTGCAGGTCGCCTCTTAGCTCCGTACAGTCAATGGGCCAATTTTCCTGTTAAATTTTTCTCTTGGTTCTTGCAAAATTACTCTGGATTATTATCAATTACTTATGTAGTTCAGATTTTTTATTAAAAAACCATTTAAGATCTACAATGGTACAAAAAAGGTTATCTGGATTAGGGATTTTGTCCATAGAATGTGATCTTTTATGATACTATATTAATGTTGAAGATGTTTTGAAAGATTTTGCCACAATTAAAAGTAGAAAAGTAAATTTTTTGTAATTTTTTTTGTGTTTACTCGTAAAGCAAAAAACATTTTGAATAAGTATTGATATTTTAGTTGATATTTCTCAATTTTGCAGTGTAAATTCAGTTCAGCGAAGCACCTCCGGGTTGGTTATTTAACTCCAGCCAGGGTAAACGTGTCCATGCAATGTTTACTCTGGAGTTTAACCCGGGGGTGATTTGCTATTGAGAAACTGGCCCTAACTAGGGGGCGCCAAAATATGAAATCGCACGCGGGCGGCTTTAGGTCTGGCGGGGGCCCTGATAGGGCTGCTCTTCGGCCTCGATTTTCGGAATCAAGGTCATATGGTGTTACACCGTTATTAACGGTGTCATTAGAGGCAAACGAGATCAAAAAAAGAGTTGTTCCAGAGTGTTATAATGTACTAAAATCAAGTATGCCTAAAACAAAAGCCAGCGCAATCATAACCTGTGGACGGTGCAAACACCCTACGTCAAGGCAAAAAACACGCTGGCTACGTCATCACTGCTACTTTGGCTGGTGGGGGATTAAGATTTGATCCAAACAGGCACAGGCCTTATGAGGATGGGCTATCCTGTGTAGTGAGTAATATCCTTGGCATAGCATAGCGCATATTTAGGTCTGTTTCAAAAATCACAAACCAGTCAGAGTGAATTTCATTGGTTGAAACTAGTTTTTTTTCTGTTTCTGACTGTTTTTTAACCAATGAAATTCGCTCTGACTGGTTTGTGATTTCTGCAGAAACAGACCTATTATTATCTATTCTAATCAAACTTCTAATGAAATTTTTCATGCCGAACTGCCCAAACTGTCAGTGAAAATCAGGTTGCCTCTATAAGGTGAGTTCGGAATGGTAGAAAGTGTCGACACTTTAAGGCGTATTTTAGCGAGAGTTTTAACCCAGTAGTATGTTGTATTTACTTGGGATACTACATTTTAGCGAGCATGGCTAACATACTATGACGTCACAACATAAAACACAACATAAAACTCGGCTGTAAACATGTAAACATCCTAGGAGGGATAGTTACTGGTTGTAGTATGTCAGTGCATCTTTTTCTAATACACGAAAGTGAGCATATGGGCAAAATAGCTGATTACGCTACGATTATCGACACAGTTCTTTCCATTATAAATAGAGGATTGTTTTTCCTCATTTTGCCATGGTTTTCTGTGATATTATTTTAGAGGTTTTTTGCAAAAAAAATAAAAAATCTTCACTTGTGCACAAAAGTGTAATTTTATTTTTTTTGGCATAGGGTACCCATAAAATTCAAAAATACCACAATCTATCGAAAATATTCGAAAATCTTCACTGGAGAAATAATATTGAAACTTGAAAACGCTAAATTTTACAAAATTCAACAAATCCAAATAAACAACGATCATGGCGTCCTCTCTTAGACCCTTTGTCAAATACACTCCACCTGTTATTTGGGTAACTATGACGTCATGAATCGTAGTATGTGTAGTATGATGTTTACCTGTCGCTAAAATACGCCTTTATTACACTATTGACACCGTGACGTTCGTTAATTGCTATAGGAGTGTTTGGTGTACACTTTATTTGCGTTTGGAAATAATTTGGTGTTCGAATGGTGTGAAGATGGTGGGACACCGTTTATTCGGTACAAAATGATGGTATATTTGGTGTTACACCGCCGATTACACCTTCATCACGTGATATAACACTGCACTACACGAACACCGCACTAGCGCTGCACTAAAATTCCATTCCGAACTCAACTCTAATAATACAACCTGTGTGACACGGCCTTAAGGCAGTGGGTTCTCAGTTGTTTTCACACAGCTGAAGGCGGGAATTTTTTGAGTGTCGCGCCCCTTTTTTCGGGTATATCAACGGTATTATTCTAGAGCCATTGCAGATTAAAGATTCTGAAGGTTTCGAAAGGTCTTGAGAATAAAGACTCTAAAAACCAGCTTTGGAGATCCATGCAAGATTCTTAGGCACTTGATCTAAATCCTTGGTACTTAGAAGAATCCTAATACTCTGAACAACTTAGAGATCTTGAAAAGTCTTGAGGCTCATGACTAAAAACTCTGGGGATTTTGAAGTTTCCAAAGACTCATTTCTTCAAATATTTTAAAATAACTATACTAAGCTGAGATCAGAAGATATAAAAGATGTCGGTGTCTTGATCAATTATTCTAGGGCCATTGCAGATACTAAAGATTCTGAAGATCCTGAAGGTTTCGAAATGTCTTGGGGATAAAGACTCTAAATACCATAGCTTTGGAAACCAATGCCGGATTCTAAGGCATTTGATCTGAAGCCTTGGAACTTGGTCCTTATACTTCGATCACCTTAGAGACCTTGAAGAGTCTTGAGGCTCATGACTGATAACTCTGGGGATTTTGAACTTTCTGAAAACTCCTTATTAAATATTTTGGAAGAAGGACTTTACTGAGCTAAGATCAGAAGATGCAAAAGATATTGGCGTCTGGATCAATTATTCTAGAGCTATTGCAGACTATGGATTCTGAATATCCTGAAAGTTTCAAAATGTCTCAGGGATAAAGACTCTTAATACGACAGCTTTGGAGACCAATGCAAGATTCCAAGGCACTTGAGCTAAAACCTTGGAACTTGGAAGAATCCTTATACTTTGCAAAACTTAGAAATCTTGAAAAGTCTTAACTGAAGACTCTTGAGATTTTGAAGTCTCTGAAGACTTTTTTTTTCAAATATTTTGAAATAAGAACTTTACTGAGCTAAGAGCTAAGAAGACGTTAAAGACCATAGCTTCGGAGACCAATGCAAGATTCTAACGCACTTGATTTAAAGCCTTGAAACTAGGAAGAATCCTTATACTTTTAACACCTTAGAAATTTTGACTCATGACCAAAAACTCTGGGGATTTTGAAGTCTCTGAAGACTCATTTTTCAAAATATTTTGAAATAAGGACTTTACTGAGCTAAGATCAGGAGATGCAAAAGATGTCGGCGTCTTGATCAATTATTCTAGGGCCATTGCATTGCAGACTGAAGATTCTGAAAATCCTGAAGGTTTCGAATGTCTTAAGGATAAAGACTCTCAAGACCATAGCTTTGGAGACCAATGCAAGATTCTAAGGCACTTGATCTAAAGCCTTAAGCCTTGGAACTTGGAAGAATGCTAATACTACAGAATACTACGTACGAAATAACAATATTCAGTCAAAAATAATAATATTTTTCAATTTTTCGCTAACAAATCCTTCCGACAATCTATCGAAAAAATAAAAACCATATGATTTGAGAGTTCTAGGTTATTTTGCATTAGAATTAATAATGTTTAGTGAATTTTATGATATTTAGTTAAATTTCGTCGAGAGTTTCGTATATGGTTAAATTTATTTGTTCTTTACGTTTTATTTTGGAAAAAATCGAAAAGTAACAATTTTTAGGTTCTGTAACTAATTTTTTGCGAGGCTTTTTAGGGCGCGAGGCCGTCGGCGACCGCCGACGTCGCCGACGCCTAGCTACGCCACTGAAAATAACATTTTTCTAACCGTTCGTTTTCAAATGGCATTTTCAGTGATGTCATCACTTGATATACCGCCCCTAACCGTTTTGTAACCCGGTTAGTTCAAACCGGAGCGACGTGAAAAGGTGTGATGGGTTCCTATCGCATAATATTTTTTTAGCATGTGGCAGCACTGCGTCGTTTGACGTTCTTTGTCGTTTTTCACAAACTTTGCAAATGTCCGACTGACAACAGTGACGTGACAAGGTGATAACCACGTGTGATACAACACACTCAAAAATAAAGGAATTTACGATATACAAAGTACAAGTTTAAAATCTTCGTGTTGTGTTTTGTGTTTTTAAATATTCAATTTTGCCAAAATGCTGTACTTGGAGGACTATCTTGAAAGTAAGTGGAACGTTGTTTGTTTTGAATGCTCTGGCATGGCTGACGTGCCCAATTGTGTCTCCATCTTTCTTCCACTTTATGGTTCATACAGAAGGGCTTCTCTTTTCAATCCACACATGCTTCCTATTTGTAATCTCCTACTTCAGGAAAAGATATGTGTATTAAAAAGAGATACCAAATATTATCAAAATACTGATTTCAATTAAAAAAAGGAACACACCTGCAATTTGCAATGGTGGCAAATTTTAATTTAAAAACAACAAATTGTAGTGATCGAACACTTACCTCAAGAACTCAGGGACCGTTTCACGGACATGAGGGAAATGGATTTAGGAATCCATAGTAAGTTGCTGAAATTAATTAGTTTGCTATTATGTATTTTTAAATTGAATATTCATAGATAACATGGATGAACTCGAAAAACGAGTTAAAACATTCTTCAACGACTGTAGAAGGTTCCAAAATGAAGATCTTCCTTCAAACTTGGAACAGGAATTTGAGGGGATAAGAACTGAATATTATAAAACGTTGGAAGATGCTGACGAAAAGGTTGGTAAGATAAATAATGAGAAGAGTTGAGCTGATACATAAACACAATAAGAATAAATACTCCAGCACAGCCAAAAATTGATTGGGGTAAAAATACCTGTACTGTTTTTTTTTTTAAGATAATTCCCCTTTCATCCTTGATAAAAAACAACAGATTTTAACTATGTTGGCAGCACAAGCCTTTTCTACATAAAAAAATTTGAAAGTATTTGACAATTTTACATTGTATTGCCCTCGGTATTGCCAACATAATGTCATTTTGACTTTTATCTTAAAAAAAAAAAACAGACTTCACTTTATGACTGTTTTCAACTGACTGGTTTGTGATTGCTGTGGGAACAGGCCTATTGTCATCTAAAGTCTGTTTTTTTTTTTAAGAGAATTTCTTACATCTGTCAAAACTGGTATTCCAACAATAAATTGACATGTTTTGATTGTTGATTTGAACCAATCAAATTGGAATTACGCGATAATTTGCACTAGTGCAAATTATCAGATACAGTAGTGTCGTGATAATCCGATCCCGCGATAATCCGTATGCTTCTGTAATCCGCATCGCATTTTGGTTCCCTTGATGTACTCTGTAATCCGGATTTCACTTGATTTAGTAATCCGAATTCATTTACATGACTCTTGAAAATAAAAGTACACGTTTTCACTTGTCGTTTTGTCACTGCGTTCAAGAGGATAGGTAGTTTTTACATATCTATTCGCATCATTCAATACGCAGCGTCCTTCTTGACGGTGTGGGCTTTTCAAAGAAAATGGCACAACTTCTTCCAAACAGTGCAGAAAAATGTAGAAGAAGGTGAACAAAATTCAAATGGTGAAAATAGAGCCTTTTTTGCTTAAATATAGCATGTTATTTTCTCAAAATAATTTTAAAAGCGGAATGTAAAATGCCTTAGTAATCCGAATAATTTGATAATCCGGATTGGTCTGGTTTTAATTGATCCGGATTATCACGACACTTCTGTAATTGCATAGTAACTGGTGCGAAAACTGGTGTTTTGACATTTTTTGACAAAAAATTTAAATTTTTGATTTATGAAATTCTCTCATTAAATACGACTCGTGCAATGGAAATATATTTATAATTTTCGAAAAATTTGCACTCATGCGTTTTTAACTGAAAAAGGCACTCGTGCACTACCTACGTGCACTTGTGCTCTTTTTCAACTAAAAATGCATTCGGGCAAATTACCCCAAAAATTATCAATAATTTCCATTGCACTAGTTATATTACTATTGAGAATTTCATACATCTGTCAAAACTGGTATTCCAACAATAAATTGACATGTTTTGATTGTTGATTTGAACCAATCAGATTGTAATTACGCGATAATTTGCACTAGTGCAAATTATCAGATAATTGCATACTAACTGGTGCGAAAACTGGTGTTTTGACATTTTTTGACAAAAAATTTAAATTTTTGATTTATGAAATTCTCTCATTAAGTAAATACAACTCGTGCAATGGAAATATATTTATAATTTTCGACAAATTTGCACTCATGCTTTAACTGAAAAATGCATTCAGGCAAATTTCCCAAAAATTATCAATAATTTCCATTGCACTAGTTATATTACTATTGATAATTCCCCAAGTCAAAAATTTAGTAACTATTTTGGCAACACAGGCCTTTTCTACATAAAAAATTTGAAAGCATTGATAATTTTACATTGTATTTCCAACATAATAAGTGTTTTTTCTCGACCCCAGTAGTTCGAAATAATTTCGAAATCTGTTTTGAACCTGTTTAAAAATGACATCATCACTTTCATTCAAGAAAAAATGAGATTTTCAAACCAGAAGAATTTAACCATACATAACCTAGGATTTTTGTTCGTTTTTTTTTTCTGGTAGTAGCTATAGCCTATTTTCTATTTTTCAAAAAATGTTAGAAGTGTTCTTTTCATGATTCTATAACCTCCGCCAAAAGACACAACACAAATATAAACATAAACAACAACCTGTCAAGTTTCCTAAACTATTGCGCATGCGTTTGTTTTTGAACCGAGGCGAAATCTTAGGCCTATTCGGGTTTGGAAAAAGGACGGTTCTAGAACGGTTCAAAACAATCGTCCAGTTTATTGATCAAGAAAATAACAACGACTCGACTATCACAAATTTCAATAATAAACTGTGCGATTCTTCTGGACCGTTCTAGAACCGTACTTTTTCCAAACCCGAATAGGCCTCTTGTTTCAAAATATTTTCAAACAGTTTTGTTATGACGTCATTAGTTCAACGCGAAAATGTAATGTTTTGAATTAGGTTCAACCTGGTTTAACCAATTTAAGCGAGAAAAAACACCTAATGTCAATTTGACTTTTATCTTTAAAAAAAAAACACACTTTAGTCTTAATTTTTTTGTTTATTCTACATTCTATTTTTCCCAAGATAGATTTTGACATTGTCAACTTTGAAACATAAACAATACCGCGTGGCTCTGATTGGTCGCAAAATGCCATGTCCTTGCAGGTGAGGTATCCTTTTACATGGTTTGAAAACGATACTTTCGCGGCATTGTTTTTGTTTCAAAGTTGTCATTGTCAAAATCTATCTTGTGAAAAAATAAACTGTAGGCTCTTGAATTTTCTTTACATTGCCCCAAGGTTCCTTAAGTTCATAGGTTGTCTGGTAATGGGTAACTTCATGACGCGTCTGGGGTGCCTTATGGAGATTTGCATTATGTTGAGGCACCCCGAATGATGTCATAAAGTTATCAGGGCTGGGACTCTGTAGCGAATAGAGATATTTTCTCTATCTCCTATTGACATCCTCTCTTTATTGATTTGGAGAAGAGAGAAGAAGACAGCAAGTGCCATAGCGATAGGGATAACAATATCTATCCGTTACAGTGTTCTAGCCCAGGCAACCTACCTCTCTCAAACAACCTTGATATTGCCCTTCTCTAAATTAAAAAATATTAAAAATAAAGATCACCAATTTCAATGCAGCTCTAAAAGTTTCAAATTTGCAGTGCTTGAAAGGCAAAGGCAGCAAGTAGGAAGTTTATTTTTCTGAAATTTCAATCCAATCCTTCAAACATTTTTCTCAAGATGTCCCACTATGATGTTATGAGGTATAATATTTTAAGTTCAGTTGAAAACCTGGTGACATGATATCCTCTCAAATATTCTCAATCAAAATTAAATTCTGAATGCGTGCATGGTTTCACTCAGTAAGATTTCCCTTACATTTCCCCATATACCGGGTGTTTTTCAAAACCCGCTCACCCCTATAACTTTTTTATTTTTCCAGATAAACAAATGAAATTTGGTGTGTTTATTTATGACCCGGATGTGTGCATTATTTGACGTATTTAATTTTTTACTATTACTTCCGGTTTGACTGGAAGTGACCCTAACTTTCTTATTTTAAATGAGACGCTAGGTATATTTTCCCTCATTTTAATAGAAAACTACATTACGAGTACAATGACACCTCATTTGTCACTTTTTGACATTTCATCACCAAATTATTTAAATTTTTACTTTTAAATCTAGAGCACCATGAATAAGTCAAAATGCTTAATTTTGCTCCTAGGAACATGGGAAAATTTGTTTTGATCTTATTTTGTATTTTATATCCTCTACAGACTCATTTAAAGATAATAGAAGCGCATTTTTAGAATTATATCAGTTTTTTCAAATGAAAAGGGTATGGCTCATGAGCATGTTCCAAAAGAGCGTTTTCTAACGAGCAATTCAGTACCACACAATCGCTAGTTCATCACTCAAATTAAGAATTTTTCTAGCATTCTAAATATTTTTGGAAAATTTTAGTTCAATATTTGAATAAACTAGCGATTGTGTGGTACTGAATTGTTTGTTAGAAAATGCTCTCACGAAATATGCTAATGAGCCATACCCTTTCCATTTGAAAAAATTGATATAATTCCAAAAATGCGCTGCTACTAACTTTAAATGAGCCTTTAGAGGATATAAAATTCAAAATAAGCTCAAAACAAATTTTCCCATGTTTCTATGAGCAAAATTAAGCATTTTAACTTATTCATGGCGCTCTAGATTAAAAAGTAAAAATTTAAATAATTTGGAGGTGATATGTCAAAAAGTGACAAATGAGGTGTCATTGTACTCGTAATGTAGTTTTCTATTGAAATGAGGAAAAATTTACCTGGCGTCTCGTTTAAAATAAGGAAGTTAGGGTCACTTCCGGTCAAACCTGAAGTGATAGTAAAAAATTGAATACGTCAAATAATGCACATCCGGGTCATAAATAAACACACCAAATTTCATTTGTTTATTGGAAAAAATAAAAAAGTTATTGGGGTGAGCGGGTTTTGAAAAACACCCGGTATAGTCATGAGCACAAAAAGTGGGACACCCAACTGACAGGTCTTGTCATTTTTGCTATTTTGCGTATATCAGTGTTTTCTCTACAATCGATTTTTTGTCAAATATGACAATCCCTGTCATTGCCGTAGGTATAGCTGGTGAGCCCGTTTTACAATAGGAAAAAACGGGTGTCCCACTTTTTGTGCTCACGACTAGGGGTGGGCAAAATAATCGATTAGTCGATTATTTTATTTTTGAAAAATCGATAATCGATTATTTTCGATTAATCGATTATTTTCGATTAATCGATTTTTTTTCGATAATCGATTTTTTTCGATTAATCGATTATTTTCGATTAATGATGAATTATTTACGATTATTCTATTATTTTTTGAGATATTTTTATATTTTGTTTTTCTTTGCATAAGGGCCGGTTTATTCACCTTCTGATAAACTGTTAGGTATGCAATTTCGCGGATGAAAACGCAATCTGTAATCCAATAGGTCGGCCAGTTATTGGCCAACCTTTGGCCGACCGATACAATTATAGAAGGGTAAACTTATCTTGCACTCGTTATATTACTATTGAAAATAGCTGATTGATGAAATATCAGTGATTTCTCGTTTAGTCAAAAACAATCTTTTAAGCAAAATTAATCGATTATTTCAAAATAAGCGATTAATCAAAAATAAT